AAGATTTAATTTTATTGAATATATTATTTATATATATATATATACATACATATATATATATATATATATATATATATAATTATCATGTAGAGCAAACTTTTTAGTTAAAATAGAAACAACATGTTCTAGGCAACTCATAAAGAGAAAAATAAAATTTAAAATGCAGTACGAAATTTGCAATGTTATATAAGTAAATCTACTGCTAAAGAACATTATGTTTTTATGGCAGTGATTACAATAGCTTTGATGACACAAGATAATGCAAAATGGATATGATGAAGCATTCCTAATTGAAAACACTTATGGTAGAGGACGGTGTTATGAGGGGTTAAAGAGAGGGAGAAATGAGGAAAATGGTTAAAAGATACAAAAATTTTAGTTATAAAATGAGTTAGTTCTCGGGTTGAATGTCCAGCATAGTGACTATAGTTAATAATACTATACTGTCTACTTAAAATTTACTGAAAAAGATTTATTGTTCTCTTACACCAAAGATGTAACTATGTGAGGTGATGGACATGTTAACTTGACTGTTGTAATCATTTCATATTGAATACTTGTTATCTTACATCTTAAATATATATATATATATATTTATTTGTCAATTACATCTCAGTAAAGATCAGATGGGACAAGAAAACCATAAAAAAAATTAACAATTAAAACAAACCAAAAAATATCTACGCTAGTCCAGAGCAAGACATTAAGACATTAAAAATTATAATAGAATTCTATAGAGAATTTGTGTACATTTTTATATGTGTATTCAAAGATTTACTGTAAGAAACTAGACTCAATGAAATTTATGGAAACGACTTGCAGAGTGAGTTAGTTGGCAGGCTAGAGACCCAGGGATCAATGGTATGGTTCCAGTTGAGGTCCAAAGGCTAGAAGGCTGGGACAATGAAGATGTAGATCCAAACTGAAGGCTGGCAGGCTTGAGATCCAGGAAAAACTAATGTTTCAGGTAAAGTCAGAAGGCAAGAAACAGCTAATATCCAAGTTCAAAGACAGTCACACAGAAAAATTCTGTTCTATTCAGAGAGGATCAGCATTTATATTTTATTCAGGCCTTCGACTGATCAGATGAAGACCAATCGTATTAAGGAGGCAAGCATCTTTCCTCAATTGATCATATTGAATTCATCCAAAAAACACTCTGAGAGGAACAACCTGAATAATGTTTGACAAAACACCTTGGCACCATGTGGTCCAGTCAAGTTAAATTAAAATTAACTATTACTATTACAAAGGTCTTGTAATTTTACTATTTTCCTACACTAAGGAAATAATATGCAATAAACATTTACTTGCCTATCCCATTGTAAAAGGCATTAGAAATACAGCAATGAATAAAACAGAGGAAAGGCTCTGTCTTCAAGGTGAATATGCAGTTAACAAATATATAAGTAAATTATAAAGTATAGGCGATGGTAGGCTGTGGAGACCAATAAAGCAGGCAAGAGAACTAGAAAATCTGGGAAGTGGGATTAGGGAATTTCAATATTGTTAAGGTTAGGATCTGCTGAGATAGCAACATTTGACCAAAATCTGAGAGAAGCAAAAGAGTTCTTGGTAAAGGTAACAGCAGATACAATGACTATAATTTTGAAGCATGCCTATCAGGCAAGGAAGCTCATATACACAGAATAAAGTTAAGAGATATTAAGCAGTGAAGGCAGGTACTAAATGGGGAGGGGAGAGCATTTTACTTAAGATCTTGGAAATCATTATAAGGACTGGGGTCTTTGCCTTCTGGAGAGTTCTGAGTGTAGGTAACATGATCTAACTTACATTTGAAGATCACTCTAAATATTTTGTTAAAAAGACATTGAAGAAAAGAAAAAGTAGAAGCAGGGAGGCCAAAAATAAATAAATTAGGCTCAAAGAAATGATAATTTAGGTTAGAAGTGGGTGTATTTGGATTTCCTGAAAACTGGTTGAGAAGAGCAAGAGAAAAAGAGTTAAGGATGATTCAATGGTTTGTGGCTTGATCAAATGGAAGAACTGAGTTGCCATTAATTGAAAAGGGGAAAGATTGAGCAGGATATGGTGGCACACACCTGTAATCCCAGCTACTATGGAGGTTGAGGCAAGAGGATTGCAAGTTCTAGGCCAGTCTCAGCAATGTAGTGAGACCCTGTCTGAAAATAAAATGAAAACGAAGAGGCCCTGATTGAAAAAAAGAAAGAAAGATTAAAAAAGAAACAGGTTTGGGAAAAATAGATTAGGAGTTTGGTTTTAAATAGTTAAGTTTCAGATCTCCAATAGACACAAATAAGATATATAGTAAGTGGCTGGATATACAACTCGGTTAACAGTTGGATATGCAATAAGCAGTCAGAATTCAGAGTCAGTCCATGTAGATAAAAATTTGAAAGTAAAAATGAAAAAGAAGAAAAAAATCATCAATACACAAATAATCTTGACAACTTTTGAACAGGATGTGTTAGCAAGATAATGAAAATAAAAAAGAGTTCTAAGGTCTGAGTACTGGGACATTTGCACCCTAAAATTGAGAAGATAAGTAGGCACTAACAAAGAAGACTGAGCAAAAAGTAGCCAGTGAGGTAAGAGGACATCAACTGTGGTATTCTGGAAAACAAGGGAAGAAGTGTATCAGGGAAGAAGTGATTAATGACATCAAGAGCTATTAGTAAGCCAAGTTAGATGGGGTTTAAGAAATTACAATAGTACAGTCTTTTAAATAAATTATACAAATATTATCCACATCAGAATTGCCAGGGAAACCAAAGAAAAGGGAAAGAAGTATGATGACATTTTTCCTCCCAAGATTAGAAATCTGTGTGCCAACCAAATTTCATATCTGTTAATCATAAAATTGGGATGATTGCATATTTTAGAAGACTTTTACAAGGTCAGGTGTTATTCTTATTTCAAGGTACATAAATATTTAAAAATAGTGAGACATGAATCATACGTTTTTATTAATTCTGAAATCTGACTTTTGTTTTTTGAAATAGCTTTATTGAGATATAACTGATACACAATAAATTGTCCATACTTGAAGTGTGTAATTTGGTAATATCTTAGACAGGTATATCTCTCCGAAATAATTAACATGATCAGGATAGGAAATGCATCAATTACCTTCTAAATTTTGCTTTATTATCTCCTTCCACCACTAGCCCACTTGCAAAATTAGAAACAAAATGTTTTCTATTTACTCATATAATGACTATTTCCAGGGCTCTTGATCTCTTTGTTTCAATACAAATATCCCCTTGATATTATTTTGCTTTAATGTGAAAAACTATTCTTAAAGTATAGGCTTGAGGTGATGAATTCTTTCAGATTTTAACACCTGAAACAATATCTTTAGTTTGCTTTTGTAATCTTTGTTTTTGAAAGATGCTTTTGCTAGGAAAATTCTGAACTGTCAGTGAACTTTAAAAATATTACTTAAAAGACTCCTATTCATTGTTTTCTGGCTTGCATTGCTTATAACCAAAGTCTAACATCATTCTCATATTTTCTTCTGTCCATGTAATGTGTTTTTTTTTCCTCTAGCCACTTTCAAATTTTTCTTTTTAATACTCATTTTAAGCAATTTGATTATGATTTGTCTTGATGTTGTTTTCTCTAGAATTATTTACACCTGGGGCTTGCCAAATGCATTAGAATTATAGGTATACATATTTCATTGTCTTTGGAAATTCTTCATTCCTTATTTCTTAAAAAAAAAATTTTTGTACTATATCTTCCAGGTTCAAGGGCTCCCAATCACTTATCAAAACACTTCAAGTATCCTATTGCTCAGTGACACAATAATTGCTTTTTACAATCTATTTTCCATGTTTCATTAGGATAATTTCAAATGGTGTGTCTTCAGGTTCCCTGATCTTTTCTTCTTCAGTGTCTAAAATGTTTTAATACTTTCAAATATATTTTCATTACACATTATAACCTTCAACTCTAAAAGGTCAACTTGTACTTATTTTTACATATTCCATGCTAAATTCTTTCTCTAGCTTACTGAATATTTAGAATACAGTCATAAAAACTTATATTCTTATTTATAATCCTATCATCTATGTCATTTCTTTTGTAAGTTGACTTTTATCCTTATTATAAGTTGCATATTCTCTTGACTCTTTGCATGCCTATTAAATTAAAAAAATTTTTTAGTTGTCAATGGACCTTTATTTATTTTTATTTATTTATATGAGGTGCTGAGAATTGAACCCAGTGCCTCACACATGCTAGGCAAATGCTCTGCCAAAGAGCCACCATTCCAGCTCCCAATTAAGTTTTTTTTTTTTTTCCAATTAAGTTTTAATTGGGTGCCATATATTGCATATTTTGGGGTGCTGAATAATATTGTACTGCTATTAATATTTGGGGGTTTTGTTTTATCAGGTAAGAACAGAATGACGTTTATAATCTAAATGGAAGCCTTGGAATTTATTTATACGTGCTTATGCTAAGCAGAATGGTACAATATTAAAAATATCCTATAATTTGCTGATTATACAGAAACCATTGTATCTTTTGTTTCACTATTTGCTTTAATTCATACAGTGATTTCCTATACCTTTATTTAATATTTTCAAGATGAAAGTTAAAATTTCAAGTTTTTTAAAAGAAATTCTTAAGGACAACAGTTAAGTCATACTTCATGAGCACTCAAGAAAGGATTACCTTTGAGAAAAATCTGCTTCAGAAGTAGAAGTTAATATGAAATAGATTATGTTAAAATAAGAAAATCACAATTAGATAAAAAGAATTAGAGGATATTTCTCTCCAGTAAGTTGTTTAAACTGGATTTTTTTAAAAAAAAAACTATTAAGCATGACTTTTTTGAGTGCCTGGTCCAACAATTTTACGTAATGTGTTTTAAACAGTTTATCCTGATATGGATTTTAAGTTAAAAAATTGTCTAGGAACACTAATTTGCTTGCATAACATATTTTGCTTACATATAAAAATCAATCTTTTATGAAATATCCAAAATGCAATACTAAATTAATATATTATACCTGTAAAATGTTAGCAGGGTCTTCTTTAGCAGATGCAACCAACAAAACATGCCCATTGATGAGTCCTTCTGCCAGAAAATACTTGAAGAGCAACGATGAGTAAACATCATATTTATCCTCCTCTGTTAAAAAGAAAAAAATTATTGTCAGAATCCTATAACACATCAAGAACTCTTACATTTGTCTGCAATGCTTTCTCTCTGAAACAAGTATATGAGATGGGGCAATAATTTATATCTTCCTAAGACAGAAGACAATTAGACAGACCAAGAGACCTGTGAACATACCCAATGAGAAGTAGATACTTCTAACAGAGACTTTTTGACTTCAAACATCATTCTCCAACTACTACATCACTTTCATAGCCACAAAACTTAGTGGATTATGTATGATTATATCAAAAAAGGCAGAGATATTTTACTTTTACTAAGATACAGTGCATTTTTTCAGGCACTCTGCCTCTAAAATAGCTATTATTTCCCACCAGCCAGTCTATAAACTCACTTCAGTTCTTTCATGTCACAATAAAAAAGTACTTAATACACCTATCCTGGTGATTATATTTACAAAATTTAGAAAAATACTATCATTCCCATTCTGGTTTTGGGTTTAAAATCCAAATACTTTGAAATTGAAGATTTTAATTTGACAGAGTCCTTAAATTTGCACTAAATGCTTTCCCAGTAAACTGTCCTTTTGCTTTTTGTTACTTACTTTTCCTTCCTTATTTATGAATTTTAAGAATTAAATGATGATTCAGGAAGTTTCTTGGACAAAACTGTGTTACATTTTTCATATTTCATTCTAAAATGAAAATAGGTTCAGTATATCTTTGTTCTCTTAATATTGTTGATAAACAACATGCCTACACTTTTATATCAGCTTTCTTTCCTTTAATAATTGAACACAATACTAAGACAAGAAATGCAGGCAAATTTATTGCACTGTCTTAAATGAGAATAGTCATTATTAACTTTTTCAACAAATATTAATTAATTGAATTCCCATAATATACTAGGTATCACTAATATCTGTTAAACTTACACTATGAAAACATTTCTAAGGAGATTGGAATTTGTGGTAATGATAGAAGAGGTCATTGTGCAAAATCACCTACAACTGTAATTATAAACCCTGGACAAAATTCCATTAAAAATAGTCATTAGAAGCCGCTGAGAAGCAGGTAGCAAACCACAGTAAAATTTTGTTTTGAAAGACAGTGATCCTGACATGCAAGAACTTTTAAGCTTGTGGCTTTTTGACAGGATGTTCCTAATTTCCCTTGGTTCTGGCCATAGGATAGAGTTTAGATTTGTCCAAACAACTGGAAAGCTCAGGGAAAAATCCTAAAGTAAGAAAGCTCAAGGACAGACACAAAAATATGATTATCAACCATGCTCAAATCCCTGACTGAACACTAAATTAAGCATGAGTGAGAGGAAGAAACAATAGGAAGAAAAAGGAACATAGGACAAATACAAAAGATACAAGTCTATCACATAAAATTGGCATGTCTGTAACTCCTCTGAAGGCACATGTTCCCCCAGTCTGAGATCAGCTTGGACTGTAAAGTTGTATTGCCTTGAGTTGTCAGAAAACAGAATTCATTGCTGAAAAATCAGAGAAAAAAATAGTCTTCGAAATCTGAATGTGAATTCTGTTCAAATATTTAGCTGTCTACTAAACGATGTGAGTGCATGGGGGAACCCAGATCAAAAGGACGAACTCTTAAAAGCTGGAAAAACTGGGCAGAGATGTTATCTGCTATATAATATACTGAATAGATGTCATCTGCTCCGTAGCATACTGAAGTTAATCATTTAAGTCTAGGCAAGTTAATTATTAAACAAGCAGAAAAAGGATAAAAACAGAAATCCTCAGAAAAACACAATAGATTGGAACCAGTCACTAACAACTATGCATTATTTGCAATGTTCTAATTTTCAACACAAAATTACTGGATATGACCTCCTAAGGAAAAATAGTCTGTAGAAACCAACTCCAAACGAACTCACGAGTTGAAATGAACAAAAAAATACTTCACGGAAACTATTATACGTCCAAAGCATAAAAGGAAAATATGGTATCATTAAGTGAAGAAAAAGAGAATATCAATAGAAAAACAGAAATTATAGGAATTAAAAAATTATATTTGGAGATTTTATTATACTGTTCTTAATAATTGGCAGTACAATTAGAGAGAAAAATCATTAAAGTAGTAGAAAGTACAAATTACTACATCAATTACCTTAAATAATTAAATACAACATATAGATGCAGAATGTATATATATTCCTTTGTAGTGCATCTGCGATGTGTACTAAGATAGACCATATGCTAATTCAAAATACAAGTCTCAATAGATTTATAGGTGCTGGGGATTGAACCCAGTGCTGCAGCTGTGTTAGGCAAGCACTCAACCACTGAGCCACAACCCCAGCCCAACAATAAAATATTTAGAAAAACTCCAAATATCTGGAAATCGAAGCATACATTTTTAATTAACTGTGGCTCAAACTTATATGAAAAGGGAAATTAAAAGATATTTTAAATTAAATGATTATAGAAATAAAATATATGAAAAGTGGGATTAGCTAAAGTGTATCTTAGAAGAAAATAAAACAACTTAAATCTATTATCTAAGCTTTCATTTAAAAAAGTTAGACAAGGGGCTAGGGATGTAGCTCAGAGGAGGGGTGTTTGCCTAGCATACATAAGATTCTGGGTTAATCCCCAGTACCACTAAATAAATAAATGGAAAAATAAAAAGCCAGACAAATAAGCTCATATAAAATTTAGATAATGTTAATGATGAAAGTAATTAAGAAAAATCAGTGAGAAGAAAAACTGGGCTAATAACAAGGAGATATAAAACCAAGGACACAGAAAATTAGTTTCATGAAAAGATCAATAAACTTGATATACCTTTGACTAGACTGACCTAGATAAAAGAAATAGGCAACAAATAATCAGTATTGGCAATGAAATGGGAGTTTTTTTTTTTTTTACCAAAGATCTCACAGACATTAAAAATATTAAAATAGGTATTATGAACAAACAACTTTATGTCAAAAAGTTTCATAACTAGAAGAAACAGAACAACTCCTTGAAGTTTTCAGGTAACTGAATATGATAAAAAAAGCAGTAAGCCAGAATTAAATTCATATTTAAAATTATCTTCCCCCATGCACACTTCAGACACAGGGAACTTCATAAATAAATCTAATCAAACATTTTAAGGAAGAAATAATACTAATACTTAACAAACTCAGTAAGAAGGAAAAGGAAATAATTCCCAACTTATTTTATAGGCATTTTTTTACTCTGATAGAAAAACCAGAAAAAGTAAAACAAACAAGCAACCATTATCTTTATTTACAGAAGGTATTATAACAAATTCTATATGTACTCTTTTAGAAAAAAAGGAAAGAAACTCTTCCAAACTCATTTTATGAGATCAGTGTGACCCTAATACTAAAACTAGACCAAGACATCACGGGAAAACTACAGACTAATGTGCCTCAAGAATCTATATAAAAAACATGGTTTTAAAAGTATACAACTAAATCCAGTAAAAGAATAACATATTATGGGTATGATTAAATGAAGTTCATCACAGATTTGAAAAATTCATGTATCACAATAACAAATTAAAAAACTAAAGCCATATAATAATTTCCATAAAGCAAAGACATTTAACAAAATCCAAAAGCAATTCATAAAAACTTTTAGCAATTTAGGAATAGGATTGAAACTTTTCAACCTGATACACAGAATTTACAAAAATCTACAGGTAACATCCTAGTTAGTGGCAAAATGGAATGCTTTTCTCCTGAGATTAGAAATAATTGAAGTATATTCACTCTATGACTTCTAATCAATGTTGTACAGAAGGTTTTAGTTACATAATAAGCCATTAAAAATAAATAAAAGTTCTAACACTTGGAAGGTTATCATACACTTAGGAAATCTTATGGCATCTACCAAAAGTCTAGTAAGATAATAAATCAAGGTTATCAAGGTTGTGGCATGGAAGGTTAGTATACACAAAGCAATTGTACTTCTATAAAGTAGTAACAAATATTAGAATCTGACAATTTTAAAATTCTACTTACAATTGATTCTCAAAACATAAAGTACTTTGCAAAAATTTATCAAAGTATATGCTCGAAGTACTACATTGAAAAATAAAAAAGATTCAGAGAGTAAAAGAAGATCTTTAAAAATAGAGGGACAGATCATGTTCTTAGAATGGAAGATTAAAATTTATCTATAGATTTGATGGAATCCAAATGGAAATCCTAGTAAGGTTTTTAGAATGTAGACAAACTAATTTAAAAATTTGCATAGAAATCTAAAGGCATATCCAAATTGCCAGTATTAATAATGTTATACCTTGGGGCCACTTATTAAGTAGAATAAAGGTTACCTGAACACAATCATTGTGATACTATAATAGCCAATTTGATAATCTAAATGGCCACCAAGTGACAGATGGCAGGTAGTATATAAAATATGGATACATTGGATAATATCTGATGGTTCCTCTCCCAAGCAGTAAGGAGTGAATGCAGCACATGATTCAATGATGCTACTCAGAATGCAAGAAATTTTTTAAAATATGTTTATTTATTTCTGGAATTTTCCCTTTAATATATTCAACTATTGTTAACTGTGGCTCTTCATATAGAAAGTAAAACAATGGGTATGGGTGGTTTACTGTAGTGACTTTTCTAAAATAAAAACCTGATCATTTCATTTCCTTACTTAAAACGTTTTGGTGATTTCTCACTGCTCTTAGGAGAAAAAACTAAATCCTTTAACTTGGCCTACAGGATCTGCATGGTTGTAGCCAAAGTGAAGAGTTCAATGTAAATAAATAAAAATATTTGTCTTAAGAGTGGTATAGTAACATTGCCATTTGCCTCTTTTAAATGTACATAACAGCTATTTAACAACTTTTCAGTAAAGAACAAAATAAACTAATTAGAAAAACAAAAATATCTGTAAAGGTAAGGACATATATCATAAAACCCCTAAAACAAAGCAGTTAAGCCCCTCTAGATCTTGTGTTGCCTCCTTTCTCAATTCTTCCCTTCTGTATGATATACCCCAGGCACAG